GTCACCCCAGTATCTCCCCGTGGTCAGTCTATTCGGGCTGGTTCTGCACTCCACTCGCCTAGGGTCACTCACTGACTTCAGTGGGGTCTCTCCTAATTGACAGTGGGGGCAGAATCTGACCCAACTGCTAGTGAACGCTGGGCAGTCTCCCCCCATCCACCTCTCCCCAAATGAGAAGGAATCCTGCCCCAGTGGGGGAAGGGAGGCTGTTGGAGTGGTGTCACCAAGGGGAGGGGCAAAACTTTCCAAGGGGCCCCACTTCAGCTGCTTGGGGCCTGACGCCCAGAGAGGCTAAGCTCCTACTGCTCCCCCAACTTCACTGGGCAAGGGGGGAGCTCAAAATGGAGATGGATCTTTCCTGCCCTGCTCCTCCGTTGCCTGGCCCTGGATTTGTGTCCTGTTATGTGTTGCCTGTAACTAGGGACAGGGAAGGGGCTAACTAACCCCCAACCCTTTGGGTCATTTGTTATGTGTTATTTACAAGTTTAAAGCAGGTAAACACACACATACACAAATGAGTTACAGTCAAGTCACACAAGGTAGTGGCAACTTCTATAATAAGCAGACTCTGTATGGCCTTTAGGGTAACCCAGGCAAAACAGCTGGGGACTCCTTACTTATGCTTAGGAATCCTCGCCCCTCAGAGATCAATCAGCAAAGGAACAATAAGTTCTCCTTAACAGGCATTTTTATTTCTTTCACCCAACATTCAAGTTGTGATGGGACGAAGGCTTGTGCACTGCACCCTCTTCAGGGCTCGGGGGGAGCAAGTCTTTATTTTGCTGGGGAGGAGGTAACGCCTCTTATGGTGAACAAGTATTTCACACGTGGTTGTGCTTCTTCCCTGGCTGTGGGGGATTTACAATCTTAGCAAACATTTTTATAGTTACAATGTAAGCATTGAACACTACCTTATAACATGGGGTACAGATATTGTAGGTAAGATTAATACAGGCAGCATCCTACAAGCATTTCATAAAAATCTAAACACACTTTTATAACTCTAGTGTCTGTTTTAACTATCGTAACCCACAGGGGAGCCAGACTGGTTTCCAGCTCTGCATTTGTCAGTGTGCAGTGAGGTTTGCGCCTTGGCATGAGTTGGCCCCTGGTCTGCCAGGGTCACACTGGAATTGTGAATGGGGCCTGATCCGGTAAGCAGCCTCTAAGCACACCTATTGGATGGGGCCCCACATGCAACTTAGGCAGTGGAACACCTAATTTTCCCCAGTTCACGATTCGCTCTGGGGCTTAGCGGGGAGATAGTGCCTTCCTCCAGGTGTCTGGGCACATGCCCAGAGGCTGAAACACGGGCACTTAGGGAGCTTTATACTGTAAAAACGTAGGTACTAAGTGAATTTAGGCACCTACAGAGTTTGCTGTATAGTTTGTGGATCACAGTGGAGCCAAACCCAGAATTTCCAGGCCTAAATCTGGGATTGGGGGGCCTGGGTCCTTTTGTGGTGGAGCCCACCCTTACAGTGTTTTCCCCAGGAACTGAAATTAGGGGGGATGTTCGAATTTACGGGGGGGTGGAGGTCAGGGCCGATGAAGGGTAAGACCTTGAGGGTGAAGATGGGCAGTATGTCACCATAGTAAAAACTGAAAAAAATTTTCATGACCATTTTATTAGATTTAACTCATGTTTTAAAATCATCACACAAATTAAAGTTGGTTACTCAAGCCTTCTATGAAGCACTACGTCTACATCCTTCTTTGTTTCTTGTTATAATTTTGCACAACTCTGTTAATGAACTTCTTGAATGCAATGCGTTCATCTTTGGTGGCTTCTCATGTGTCCAGTACATCCATTCCTTCAATTGATATGCTCATTAGTTCATTCACATGATCAGGCAGAAGGCAACTTCTTTCAAACACAAAATTCTATTCAATGATGAAAGAGAACGCTCAACTGTAGCTGTTGTGACTGGGAGTAGCAAGAGATGAATTCCTACTTCTTAGCCCAGGAAACCTAGCATAAAGATCAGGTCGAGCCACTAGTGATGATAAAAAAGAAGTTGAAGTCAAATCTTCATTCATTTGTCGTATGATATTCCACTCTGTGTTCAAATTCTCTATTCTGTCCTGAGCACATGGCAGCCCCATTGCTGGTAGTGCCTCACTCCACTCAACTGTCGGTGTTTTATACGACAGGGATCTGTGAAAGTTACGTAGAGGTTGAGTAGAATCTAGAAGTCGCTGTTGTAAATTTTTAAGAATCAAGTCTGTGTACTTTTTCAGTTGTCTTAACAAACACTTCTTGTCCTCTTCACTTAAGGGTTCAATATAAATGCCTTCATTAGTCAACTTCTGGACTGAAGTCTTTGCTTCTTCCAGTACTTTTTCAATGAATAGCTCTCTGATTGATCCAAATGTAGCTTCTGGACAAAGATCTACTACTGTTGTAGCAGATGCCTGGATGGCATCGTTTAATGACCCAAGTGGTTTCAACAGTAGACTTACAAGAGAGAGAATGGCAATAGTCTTCTCTGAATGTAGTAGCAAAAGTAATCTACCAGCCTCACTACTTAGATCTATTCCATCTTGGTAGATATTTTTCAAAGCCAGTAATAACGGCTGGAATTAAGACAACAGCCAAGGATCACTCATGAGAAAGCCAGAGGGTTTTCCCAGGTTGGACTAATTTAACTTCAGTCCCAGTGTATCTTCTATATTTTCCAAGATATTCAGTCTTTTTGGACTCTTGCTGAAAAAAGAATATAATGAAGACATTAAATGTATAGCTTTTTAAAATGAAGAGTCTGCAGCTCGTACTAGCACTAGTTGGAGTAGATGGCCTCTGCAGTGTTTATAGGAGAGATTAGGATTACACTTTTGTCTGAGCAAAGCTTGTACTCCACCATGTCTTCCAAAGAAGTTTGCAGCTCCATCAAATGCACAAGCAGCCATCATGCTCAGTGAATGTTCTGTTGTTGAATTGTTCTTCTGTTCTGATTGTACTTTGACTAGCAAAGTGATGGCGTGGAAAGCTAAAAACAGAATCCTCTCCAACTGAGCTTTCAGCAAAAGGGTATAAAGAAATTCAACCACACTTGAAACGCCGACCATTTGCAGAGGGATATGAATCCATCTTGGGCTGTATTGGTTGTTCCTCTTTGTGCAGTGATATATCTATGGCTGTGGAGATGTTGTTTTTCCTGTCATGAACAGGTAAAACTCTGTTTAACACAACCTTCTACCCTTGCTGGTGAGGTCAGCGCACACAGGACATTCTTAGAGGTGTAGTTGGTGGCCACTGATGTACTGGCACAAGGATCATTATCATGAGTGGTGCATGAACCCCACATTCAGGGAGGCTAGCTCCCTACCCCGCCTCTTCTGCCCGAGGCTCTGTCCCCCAGCTCTTGCCTGCTGGGACTGGAGGAGTCCCGAGCCCCCCACTGTGGCCGGAAGAGCCCCGGCCTGTCTCGAGCCTTGGCCACCTGGAGGAGCTCTGAGCCCTGCCTCCCCAAGCCTCCATTACGCGCCACCCATGATCATTATCCAGTCTGTTTTGTTGTGTTGACTGCAGGGACAATGTTACTTGGGGAAGCATTTACACAGTTTATTTTCAAGGATGGTTCTTCACTGTCACAATTTTCATTGTCAGGGGCCATTCTTTTTAAAAAGTATTCCTCTGCTGCAGTGGTACAGGTGCCATTGTACACGGGGAAAAAAATCAAAAAGCTTTTAAGCATAAAAACAAAATAATATAACAATAGTGTAGATTTGATTTGATTACTATATTTGTATTAAATATTTTTCAAAGGCAGCACTGAAGTGCCTTTCAATGATGCAGTGAATGCGTGTGCAATTAATGAAACAAAAAAACATACGAAACACTGTGAAGCAAAAATAAGTGGTTTTTTCAACACTTCCCCGCTCCCCTTTTTTATGTAGTTCAAATAAACAAGGTATTACGGTATAAAATGAAGCAAACTTTGCCTGAAGCCTGTCTGTGGGCTTCAGCCAATATTGAAGCGATGGAATAAAGAACCAGTGGAATATGACATAAGCAACGTAAATGGGTGATTTTTTTTAAACCGAAGTAAAATAAAAGGCCAAATAAAGACACAGATACAGTTTTAAAAAAATACTTACCAGAGAGGATGGAAAACCACATCTGAAAAGTGGAATTCTTCCAACCTCCAGCAGGGTGTGTGTACATACATTTCTGGGGGAAGTCTAGGACTGGGAGTGTGTTGGGGTCCCCCTGCAGTAGAACCAGGCTGGTGAGAGCCAAGGTGTGACTGGCAGGTTGCAGTTACACAAAAACATCCGGTGGTGACCTGCATGCTAGTGGCTGGTTACAGGGCAATGGGTGACGCAGCTTCCCACTGCTGTGGATAGCACCCCAGTATGTTACAAGCAGCCAACAGGTTATACTGGGCGGGAGGGTGGGGGGGTTACTGTCTGATATTCCTTCACAATGTGCACAGAGGAAACTGGTGAGTAGAGTTGTGTAAAATGGCACTACTGTGGCGCTAGTCTTCCTATGGATGTTCTAGCAGACTGAACTCTGAAATCCCCTGCTTCTAGTGTCCAGTCCTTCAAAGGCAGTTCCCAGTTGACCGGGCACTTGTTGGAAAACTTTAGATTAGGGGTCTCAAAGTCCCGGCCCGCTGGCCATCTGCGGCCCGAGAACCTTCCCACTGCGGCCTGCGAGGGAGAGACATGTGCAGACACGCTGCCCGATGTCTGCTGCGGGCACTGTGCCCCGCAGCTCCAATTGGCTGGGGGAGAGGGACAGAGATACCATCATTAGTTGTGGGGCAGAGTCAGCCATGGAGGCAGCATCCCTTTTTTCCACAATGAATATAAACAAGTCAAACATAACGACCGAACACAATTCTCTGACGCACACCTTGCTGCAATCCTGAAGGTTTCAACTGCTCAGTCTCTGAGGCCAAAAATAAAAAAACTGACAGAACTGAAACGTTGCCAGATGTCTGGCAAACACTAAACACCCTCTGGCAGGCGAAGAATTGCAGAACGTTGTATGACAGTTTTATTATTTCTAAGAAATTCGAAATAAAAAATACAATATAAACATTTTCTTTTCTGAACACCATCTTCAGTGACATTATTGGCCCGCGGGGAGGATTTGAGGACTGGCACTGGCCCTACGGTAAATTGAGTTTGAGACCCCTTCTTTAGATCTTGTTTCTATCTGGCTGAGGCTCATTCTCAGGCTTATCTCAATGGCTTTTCAAATGACCTGTATGCTAGTGTTAACGCTTCCATGTCTGGTTCTTCCCAGATGACCCCAGACACCCTGGTTTACAGAACAAGCCTGAAGTATAACCCCACCCCTGCCAGCAACCCAGTGATCCTGAGAACCAATCCAGCTGTGATTCCCATTGAGTGTCACTACTCCCATTGAATGTCTGAGATGCTCAGATCCCTCCCTCCCATTCAGTCCCTGTTGTGGGATCTAGCTCAGTGTCAGGTTTGCTCCTCTCCCAGGAAGGACAATGTGAGCAGTAAAGCCATCAAGCTGATGTGGGTTCCCTTCAGCTCCACCCTGTCTGCTGAGGAGAGGCTGGATTTCTCCCTGCACCTGATGAATGGTAGGTGGGAGGAGCCTTCAGGGGAGTCCAGCACTGCCTGCCTGTCTGTCCTGCTCACTGTGAACTTGCCTTGCAGATGACTGGAGTGCTGAGAGACACTCCAATGGATTCCAGCTAGGGGAGGTCATGCATATCCAAGCTGATGTCAGCACTGGGAACCATGTGGCTCTTTGGCTCTTTGTGGACAGCTGTGTGGCCACCCTGACCCCAGACAGGGACTCCTCTCCTCGCTATGCTGTCATTGACTTCAGTGGGTAAGAGCTGGGAGCCCTTTCTAGTCTAAAACAAGACTGATCAGGGACTCTTACTGACCCTTGTTTCTTGTGTGTAGGTGCCTGGTGGATGGGAGATCAGATGACATCCCCTCAGCCTTCATATCCCCCAGGCAGGACACACTACAGTTCATGGTGGATGTGTTCAGGTTTGCAGGAGATGGTGAGCTCCCAGATTTCTGCTCCAGTCAGATCTCCAGGCTAAGCAGGTGTTAGTGTCCCCTGGGATGGTCCTAACCCCTCTTCCCACTTCACCTCAGATCTAGATCACCTGCCATCTGAAAGTCACTGCAGCTGAGCAAGCCCCAGATTCCTGGAACAAGGCTTATCCCTTCAACAAAGCAGGTGACGTGAGTAGCTGGAGTAGGACCCTATGGAGGTGATGGTTTGTGGGCAGGTGGGGTTCGTGGGATGGGCAGCCCGGAGAGGACAAGTCTTACTGTAAGTGACTCTGCCACTTCTCCTGGTCTAGCTGGTCTCCAGTGGAAGGCACCAGAGACATCTACGGCTGCGGTGAGACTGGGAACTGTGGGTTGCTTGGAGCAGTGGTTCTCAGCCAGAGGTTTGGGACCCCCTGGGGGGCTGCAAGCAGGTTTCAGGGGTCCACCAAGCAGGGCTGGCATTAGATATGCTGGGGCCCAGGGCAGAAAGCCAAAGCCTGGTCACATGGGGCTGAAGCCCGGGGCCCTGAGCCCTGCCACCTGTGGCTGAAGCCTGAGTAACTTAGCTTCACGGGGTCCCCTGTGGTGTGGGGTCCCAGGCCATTGCCCTGCTTGCTACCCCCTAATGCTGGCCCTGGCTTTTATATGCAGAAAACAGTTGTTGTGGCACAGGTAGGGCCGTGGAGTTTTTATAGCATGCGGGGGACAGGACTCAGAAAGGAAAATGTTGAGAAGCCCTGGCTTGGAGGACAGTCCAGGAGAGGCAGCCCTCTGGACAAAGGACCAGGGAGATGCTTCCAGAGAGATGTGGCCCCTGGGCATGGTAGGTTCTGTGATTCCCCACCCAACCTGTGTAGGGGGGCAGGGTATACACCTTTGACCTGAAGAACAGAGGCTGGCTTGATCAAAATGACCCCCTATTTTAAGGGGTCCTCATCCCAACATGAGTGGGGGAGGGTGTATCTAATGAAATATTAATGTGCTCTTGGTAACACTCTTGTATCCCCACACAGGTGAGTCCTCAGTGAGGGTAGCAGAGGCTCATGGTGTGGTAGGACCCCTATTAATCCTAGATGCCTAGCAAGGGTCCAAGGATCTCCTAGAAGACCAACATGAAGCAATGCAGGCAGCATCACATGGTACCTAGTGACTGACCTGCATGCACCTTGGAGAGATTTCTGCATTGTGTTATGAATCTATTTCTCTATTGGTGGAGGACTGGGAGCTTCCACCCACCTGGGAAAAATCCTGAAGTCTCATCCTGGGGCAGGGTGGGGGGAATTATTCATAACAGTGAGGATTGAAGAGGGAAGTAGCAAAAATCTACACCCTATCCTGAAGGATGATCCCTCACTCTCACAGATCTTGGGAGACAGGCCAGTCCTTGCTTACAGAAGGACTGTAAACCCCCCTGCCTGAAGCAAATACTCACCAGCAACCACACACCACACAACAAAAACACTAACCCAGGAACCTATCCTTGCAACAAAGCCCGTTGCCAACTCTGTCCACATATCTATTCAAGGGACACTATCATAGGACCTAATCACATTAGCCACACCATCAGAGGCTCGTTCACCTGCACATCTACCAATGTGATATATGCCATCATGTGCCAGCAATGCCCCTCTGCCATGTACATTGGACAAACTGGACAGTCTCTACGCAAAAGAATAAATGGACACAAATCAGACGTCAAGAATGATAACATTCAAAAACCATTCGGAGAACACTTCAACCTCCCTGGGCACTCAATTACAGACCTAAAAGTCGCAATACTCCAACAAAAAAACTTCAAAAACAGACTCCAATGAGAAACTGCAGAGTTGGAATTTATTTGCAAACTGGACACCATTAAATTAGGCTTGAATAAAGACTGGGAGTGGATGGGTCATTACACAAAGTAAAAACTATTTCCCCATGCTAATTTTTCCTCTACTGTTACTCACACCTTCTTGTCAACTGTTGGAAATGGGCCATCCTGATTATCACTACAAAAGTTTTTTTTCTCCTGCTGATAATAGCCCACCTTAATTGATTAGTCTCATTATAGTTGGTATGGCAACACCCATTTTTTCCATGTTCTCTGTGTATATATATCTTCCTACTGTATTTTCCACTGCATGCATCTGATGAAGTGGGTTTTAGCCCACGAAAACTTATGCCCAAATAAATTTGTTAGTCTTTAAGGTGCCACAAGTACTCCTCGTTCTTTTTGCTGAAACGGATTAACACGGCTACCACTCTGAAATGGGGGGTGGGTTCTCCACTGAATACCTGCCCCAGTCCATCACAACTAGGCTGTGAAGAGCCTTGGTGGCTAGGCTGATGCACCAAGCTGTGGTCTATGATCAACAGTTCTGTAGGCAGAATTATAAAGCAATTGCTGCCCATCATAGAATCATAGAATATCAGGGTTGGAAGGGACCCCTGAAGGTCATCTAGTCCAACCCCCTGCTCGAAGCAGGACCAATTCCCAGTTAAATCATCCCAGCCAGGGCTTTGTCAAGCCTGACCTTAAAAACCTCTAAGGAAGGAGATTCTACCACCTCCCTAGGTAACGCATTCCAGTGTTTCACCACCCTCTTAGTGAAAAAGTTTTTCCTAATATCCAATCTAAACCTCCCCCACTGCAACTTGAGACCATTACTCCTCGTTCTGTCATCTGCTACCATTGAGAACAGTCTAGAGCCATCCTCTTTGGAACCCCCTTTCAGGTAGTTGAAAGCAGCTATCAAATCCCCCCTCATTCTTCTCTTCTGCAGGCTAAACAATCCCAGCTCCCTCAGCGTCTCCTCATAAGTCATGTGTTCCAGACCCCTAATCATTTTTGTTGCCCTTCGCTGGACTCTCTCCAATTTATCCACATCCTTCTTGTAGTGTGGGGCCCAAAACTGGACACAGTACTCCAGATGAGGCCTCACCAATGTCGAATAGAGGGGAACGATCACGTCCCTCGATCTGCTCGCTATGCCCCTACTTATACATCCCAAAATGCCATTGGCCTTCTTGGCAACAAGGGCACACTGCTGACTCATATCCAGCTTCTCGTCCACTGTCACCCCTAGGTCCTTTTCCGCAGAACTGCTGCCTAGCCATTCGGTCCCTAGTCTGTAGCGGTGCATTGGATTCTTCCATCCTAAGTGCAGGACCCTGCACTTATCCTTATTGAACCTCATCAGATTTCTTTTGGCCCAATCCTCCAATTTGTCTAGGTCCCTCTGTATCCTATCCCTCCCCTCCAGCGTATCTACCACTCCTCCCAGTTTAGTATCATCTGCAAATTTGCTGAGAGTGCAATCCACACCATCCTCCAGATCATTTATGAAGATATTGAACAAAACCGGCCCCAGGACCGACCCTTGGGGCACTCCACTTGACACCGGCTGCCAACTAGACATGGAGCCATTGATCACTACCCGTTGAGCCCGACAATCTAGCCAGCTTTCTACCCACCTTATAGTGCATTCATCCAGCCCATACTTCCTTAACTTGCTGACAAGAATACTGTGGGAGACCGTGTCAGAAGCTTTGCTAAAGTCAAGAAACAATACATCCACTGCTTTCCCTTCATCCACAGAACCAGTAATCTCATCATAAAAAGCGATTAGATTAGTCAGGCATGACCTTCCCTTGGTGAATCCATGCTGGCTGTTCCTGATCACTTTCCTCTCATGCAAGTGCATCAGGATTGATTCTTTGAGGACCCGCTCCATGATTTTTCCAGGGACTGAGGTGAGGCTGACTGGCCTGTAGTTCCCAGGATCCTCCTTCTTCCCTTTTTTAAAGATTGGCACTACATTAGCCTTTTTCCAGTCATCCGGGACTTCCCCGGTTCGCCACGAGTTTTCAAAGATAATGGCCAATGGCTCTGCAATCACAGCCGCCAATTCCTTCAGCACTCTCGGATGCTACTCGTCCGGCCCCATGGACTTGTGCACGTCCAGCTTTTCTAAATAGTCCCTAACCACCTCTATCTCCACAGAGGGCTGGCCATCTCTTCCCCATTTTGTGATGCCCAGCGCAGCAGTCTGGGAGCTGACCTTGTTAGTGAAGACAGAGGCAAAAAAAGCATTGAGTACATTAGCTTTTTCCACATCCTCTGTCACTAGGTTGCCTCCCTCATTCAGTAAGGGGCCCACACTTTCCTTGGCTTTCTTCTTGTTGCCAACATACCAGAAGAAACCCTTCTTGTTACTCTCGACATCTCTCGCTAGCTGCAGCTCCAGGTGCGATTTGGCCCTCCTGATATCATTCCTACATGACTGAGCAATATTTTTATACTCTTCCCTGGTCATATGTCCAACCTTACACTTCTTGTAAGCTTCATACTAGGCAGCACCACCCCAGGGCCCTCCAAAAGCCATGCTGCACAAACACAACTCCCACTGCTCCAGCTGCAGTGTCTGCTAATGCATGAAGCAGAGTGAGCTCCCAGTTGTGGGATGTGCAAGTGACAGGGATGTGGCGGAAGTTCTCGGTTCCAGTTCCAACCCTGGCTTTCCTCTTCCAGCAGCCGTAGATCCTGCGCTGCTGGTGGGGTTGAGCGCGGCAGCTGCTACCCCAGCTTTGGCCTGTCTTACTCTGGGACCTTTTCTTGTAGGCACAAACTCCAGCCAGTCCCTGCCCAAGCTGTCAAGTGACACTGCCATCCTTGCAGAGTAAATGAAGAGCACTGAGCAGACTGAGGTGGCTGCTGCCTGCCTGAGGGGGATGTTCCTGCTAGTGAATAGGCGAGGAAGGAGGTGACCCCTTTAGCTGTATCCCAGACTCTCCCACGAGAAGCTCCTCCCTGGGGTGGGCTGGAGCGGGGGTGACCCCTGTATTGCCTGGAATGCTGCTGTGAATGCTGTTAATGAGCAAGGGGGCCAGGAGGTCAGACCCCTGGGCACTTTGGAAAACACCTTTATTCCCCTTCAGGAGCCTCCCTAGGAGAGGCAGGGTATGCGGCAGGGAGCTGCATTTCAGAGTGAGGCTTTGTTTCCCAGGAGCCCCATGTTGCTACTCTTGGGGGTGTATGTGTGGAAATCCTTGTGTGGTGCTGCCAGGGAACTAGCTGCCGCAGGATGAAGGTGAGGTCAGCAGCACCCCATGTCTTCCTGTTCCGCCCTGGAGCTGCGGACTCAGCCCTGCTGCTGTCTGTTCCTTGTCGCAGGGGGGAAGGTAGGAGTCCCCCAAACCCGCTGGCCTTCATGGATTTGCGATCTGAAGGGGTCAGCTTAAACCTACCTCTAGCTCTCCATTGAAATTACCCTGAGAGCCTCCTGCTAGGAGACACTCCAGCGCCTCTCCCCACCTAGTGTGCTCACGAATACCATGGAGACCACAGACCGCGCTCAGCTGGGATAACTGTCCAGCTCTGTTCCTGCCCCATTGCCCATCACAGCCCCACCACTCAGGGGGTTGGAGGCTCAGGGAGTGGGAGCAGGGACTCCACAGGTCCCGGGCTCAGTCCCCTCCCCAAGCTCCTGGTCCTGGCTGAATGGATTTGGAAGAGGAGTTAGTGGGGGAGGGTCCCTCCTTTCCCACCCTGATTCCAGTAACCGACATCCCATGGTAAGCCATTTCTAGGAGCCAGGCACGAGTTAATGCTCTCGGGCTAGCGTGGCAAGGTCCTGTGCATGGTTCTGCTGCTTGGGGGGCATGGCTGAGCCCAGCTGCTCAGAACAGCTGGTGCGCGGATGGTGTCATCTCTGCTCAAAAGGCCAACTCCAGCCTCCCCCGATGAGAGTTTGGGCTGGATTTTGGTGCAGCTGGGTGTCCTTTGTCCTACAAAAGGAAACCTGGTGGGTCTGTGCCCAGCAGCCTTTGGCTAATTACAATAGTGAACAGGTGCTGCCAAACTTTCAAGAGCTCAGAACCCAGGGGGTGCCAGGGCTGTAAGAATGGCCTGGGGGGCAGGGCACAGGGTGGGGATTCGGGTGCCAGGACTGTAAGAATGGCCCTGAGGGTGGAGCACGGGGTGGGGACTCGGGCGCCAGGACTGTAAAAATGGCCCTGGGGGGCAGGACAGGGGTGGGGACTCAGGTGCCAGGGCTGTAAGAATGGCCCTGGGGGTGGGGCATGGGGTGGGGACTCGGGTGGCTGGGTTCAATTCCCCTCTTGGCCCCAGGTTTCCTGTGGGACCTCGGGCAATTCATTTCCCTGAGCCTGGGCCTCCATTCCCGACGCCCCATGATGGGGATAGCATGTGGAAGGGTGTGGGGAGGGGAGTACCCATTAGTGACTGTGAGGCATTGGGTTCCTGTGGTGACAAAGGTCAGATAAGCAAAGCTGGACTTTCAGTACAGCTCAGCATCCACCTGCTCTGCTCCTAACCCAGTGAGCTGAGCTCTTCTCAGCTGCGCCCGGAGTGGAGCTGGGGAGTTCTCCGGGGAAGGGTGGCCCATGGAATGGTTTTTCTGCTGCTTCTTGTTCCCTGCCCAGCTCACTCCCTCGGGACAGCCCTGGCAGACACTGGTTCCAGAGCAGAGGTGCCCTTCCTCCAAGGGGCTCTGCTGCCGGGAGTGGGGGGTCCGGTCCAGTCCCTGCCCTGCGCAAATCACTTAGGCCCAGATCCTCAAAGATATTTAGACTCCCAACTTCCATTGAATTTAAATCAAGGGAAGGCAGTAGCTTTCAGGATCTGGGCTTTAGTCTCTCTGCCTCGGTTCCTCTTCTGTGCTGTGTACTTCCCTCCCTCTGAGCAGGGGCGCTGGAAGAGTTTGTCTAGTGGGGGTGCTGAGAGTTATTGAACTAAACTGTAAACCCTGTATATGATGGGAACCACTTCAACCAGCGTGGGGCCAACCCCCAGCACCAGCGTCTACAGCTCTGAGGAATGTTGTGAGGACAAATACATTAAGAGCATGAGATGCTCACATCCTGTGCAGCAGGGAGCCGCAGCTGTAGCTAGCAGGGTTAACAGGCCAGTGGACATCCAGTTGCTCATTCAGTCTGTCTCCCTTTCAGAGTAGCCGAAGGGGCAGGGGCAACCCACGGTGTTTGCTTCGCAGCTGGGACTAGAACGCCTAAGACCCAGATCTGAAGGCCTCTGCCGCCCCCTGCTGGCAGCAGAGAAGAGCTGCCAGGGGCTGAGGCTCAGTCTGTGCAATAAGTCAGCAGGCTCCACGGCTGAAGTGCCACTAAATCTGCGGTCAGCTGACTCGGCTCAGCGCGCTGCTGACAGGCTGCGGCGCAGGGAAGTCTGTGGTCAGCTGACTGCGCTCCGAGATCAGCTGATGGCTTCCAGCCCTGGCGTGGGTGAGGGGT